TTTCTTCCATAATTACTTGTGAAACTAGAATTGTTGGCTTGCAGAGCTGAAGAATATCTAAAAGGTCATCTGTGTTAACCCTGCTCTGTCCAGAAGTCACTTCTATATTGTTCTTGACATTTTTTCCCCCTCATTTTTTATGGTCTTCTGCTTCTTTATATTCTAATTTCAGTGATAGCAGGGAAAGAGATTGCCAGGCTGAGGATACAAACTTGCTAGTGCTTGCCTAACAATTGGAGTAGCTTAGGATTTTGGACAAGAAGGTTTATGTGCCGGGTCATGAATCTGTCCTTAATTTTTTCAGGGAAGGCTCTTTATAATGGTGCTACAATATTGGCTATATCAGTACCTAGGAGATGTGTATACCACTTTAGCCATATAAAGTTCTCATTGGGCAGGCATTCAGTTGGTTTATTCTAAGCTGGCATAATGAAAGTGAATTGGAAATTGTACCAAGTGTAGTGGGTATGCAGAGTGTTTGATGTTACAGAAACATTAGAATTAAGGCCTTGAAGTGAAGAAAAGGAGTGGGACTTTGCCTCAGTGCCTGGCACTCTTTTTTTTTTTTAAGATTTTTTAAGTTGATTTTTAGAGAGAGCAGAATGGGGAGCACTGATGTGAGAGCCGAACATTCGCCACCTCCTGTATGCCCCGCACCGGGGATCGATCCCGCATTTGGGGCATGTGCCGCGACCAGAAATTGAACCAGCAACTCTTTGGTGCACTGGACAAATGCCCAGCCATCTGAGCCATACCAGCTAGGGCCTGGCAGACTCTTAAATTGGGCCTACTTTGAACTTTTCCTCTCACTTCTTTTCTTCCCTGTCCTTGATCTTTTCCTTGCTCAAAGTCTTACTGCTGTAAACATCTTCGCCATAGGCTAGCCAGGAAGAAGGAAAACCAGGTGAAACTCCAATCTGCCTCATCCCTTTGCCAGTCATATCTGTGATGAGGAATAGCTTGGAAAGGGGAGGAAGAGAAGAAGTTGAAATTGCTGGCTGAAGCTGGGTTTCATGTCATGTGCCTTTGTTTGCCCCATTTAAATTACCATGAATAATTGAGAGTTGACTCCATAAATAAGTACATGTAAATGGAAAAAGCTTCAGAAAGACTGTACTTAGTCCTTCACCCTGTTTTAGGGTAGTTACTAATTGGATTCATTCTTCTGGTGTGCCATGTCTGGTCAGGTAGTGTATTAGCTTCCTGTGGCTGCTGTAACAAATCACCACAAACTGAGTGGTTTAAAACAACAAATGTATCCTCTCACAGTTCTGGAGGCTGGAACCCAAAATCAGTTTCATTGAAAATAAATCAGGGTGGCGGTAGGGCCCTGCTTCCTCCAGAGGTTCTACTGCATCACTCCAGTCTCTGCCCAAAATCATTAAGGACGAAGGCCTCTTGGGTTGTGCTTGTTGCTTTGTGTTCTCAGGACTGCTGCTTCACCTCAGGGAGCATCTCCCTGTTTGAAGCAGGAAAGGGCAAAGAATAGAAAATGCATGCCTGTTTTCTAAGAAGCTTTCCAGAAGCCCTACCCAACAACTAGGCTTAACATTGTATTGTCCAGACTAGATCACATGGCCACCCATATCTTTAAGGAGGCTGGGAATGTTTTTAGCTGGGCACATTACAACTCCACTAGCAAGATTCTGTTGGTGTTAGGGAAGAGGGGAATGGCTATGGAGTAGGCAGCTTGCAGTCTGTCCTAGTGGGTAATGAAAATAGTGTACATTTCCACCTACAGCTAGAAGGCTTTTGTATATGTGATCACAGTAACCTTAGTTCATTCTCCAACATAAAATGAGAAAACCTGGGATGTACATTGATACTTGCTGTGTGCTAGACACTTTAACTACTTTCATATCAGTTATTTACATCATCTCCTGTAATCTGCTGTATTATCTTCTCCTGGAGATATTAACACCACTTTATAGATGAGGCAACTGAGGTTCCATGAGAATGGTTAATAATACCGTTTTCTAGATTTAAAGATAAAATTTTAGAGCTTACAGTGGTGCAGCTAATACATGGTAGAGCTTAAGCACACCCATGTTTGCTAAATTGATGCTTTGAATTGAGTGCACACACCCCCATACCCAGCCATCCACACCTTGTAAAGCAGTGAGAAAGCAGCATCGCCTTTAGTGAGGTAATGCTAGGTTTGAGTCTTCTGCCATGTATAGCTCTGTTATGTGATAGACAAATTATCACATATTTGTGCTTCAGAGTTTTCACTTGTAAACCCTGCCTTGCAGGGTTTTTGTGAGGATGAAACGAGATATAGACATATACTGCACCTATTCAGTAAACAGTAACTTATAGTTATTACTATATTCATATTATAGATCAACATTGACTTTTTCTTTCCTGTTCTGTAGGAGGTGTGGTAATACTGAAGAAATCACTTATTTTAGTTCTTGAGTCTTTTCAATTAATCATAATATCCCTCTCTTGTGCCTTAAATAGTTTGTTTTTCTACCCACTTCCTGTAACTCTGGGATGGGGAGGAACCGATCTTTTTGCCATTTGTGAGTGGTTTTGCAATTTGACAGTAGATAGTGATCACTCTGTTTTCCCTCCTGTAGCTGCCATAACAAATTACCACAAGCTTGATGGCTTAAAACAACAGATTTATTATCTTATAGTTCTGTAGGTCAGAAGTCTGACACAAGTCTCAGGACTAACATCAGGTGGTGGTAGGTCCGAATTCCTTTTTGGAGGCTCTAGGGAGAACCTATTGTTTGCCCTTTTCAGTTTCCAGAGGCTGCCTGTATTCCTTCGCTCATGGCCCTCTCCCCTCCATCCTCAAAGCCAATAAGAATGCAGCTATCTCTCCACCTGACTTCCATTATTACATCTTTCTCTGACTTCTGCCTCCCCCTTCCATCATTCTAAGGACACCTATCATTACCTTGGGCCCGTTTAGATGAAACAAGATGATCTCCCTATCTCAAGGTCAGCGGATTAGTAACTTTAATCCCCTTTACCGTAGTTGCGACCTAGCGTAGTCTCAGGTTTTGAGGATTAGGACGTGGACATCTTGGGGGCACCATTCTGCCCACCACATCTCCATCCTCCGCAAAAGACTGAACTCAGTTTTAGCTTCAAAAGTGAAAAAAAAGTCTTAAGGATGTTGTAGACACCTTTTTATACACTTGAAGTCTGTCGATGTTGTAGTAGGAAGAAATAGGTATGACCTGGGTTTTATTAACTGCTGCAGGCTATGAGGATACAGGGAGAGTAAAGGGGAAATAGTGAAGATGTGGGTGCTAGAGGGAGAATCTCACCTCTCAGAGGCCCTTGGGTCAACCTGTAGGGAGAGTAGCCNGAGAGTAAAGGGGAAATAGTGAAGATGTGGGTGCTAGAGGAAGAATCTCACCTCTCAGAGGCCCTTGGGTCAACCTGTAGGGAGAGTAGCCTTAGCATCACTGATGCAATGACTACATAATTCTAGGGATGTTTCATTTTCTATTTTTTCTTAGCCTTACTCTTATCCATGACTTATTCTTTTATGTTTGCATAGTCAAAACATTTATAGGACTTTGTGAATTTTCTTAGTATTTGTAATGATTTGCAGTAGTCCCCTTACTCACAGGGGATATGTTCGAAGATCTCCAGTAGATGCCTAAAATCATGGATAGTACCGAACCCTGTATATACTATTTTTTTCCTGTACATACAGATCCATGATAAAGTTTATGAGTTCTCTTTGTCATACCCAATTGTCAGCATCACTCTTGTGCTTTGGGGCCATTATTAAGTAAAATAAGGGTTACTTGACACAAGCACTATGATACTGTGGCAGTCAGTCTGATAACTGAGACAGTTCTAAGTCATTAATAGGCAGGCAGTGTATACAATTATGGATATGCTGGATAAAGGGATGGTTCACGTCCAGGGTGAGACTGTGCAAGTAGCATTCATCACGCTACTCAGAATAGAGCACAATTTAAAACTTACAAATTGTTCATTTCTGGAATTTTTCATTTAATATTTTTTGGGCTGCAAGTGACTGCAGGTAACTTAAATAATGGAAAGTGAAACTGTAATAAGGAGGACTACTGTATTTGAGTGATTTTAAATTCTTTGGAGAGACTTTAAAAATCAAAGCATAAATAATATCTGTGGTTGAATCATTTTTTGATTTATTGCTTGAGTTCATTGTTTTAATTCAATTTATTACTTGAACTCATTTTTTCCAGTTCAGTACTTCTTGCTTGTGTCTGAAGTATGTTATGTGAACGTATTTTCCTAAGTGAAAAGTTTAGTCTTTCTAGTCATTCATCCATTTGACCAATCAACAAGTACTCACTCAAGTTTTACTATGTGCCAGGCCCTCTGTTTGGCTTTGGGGACATATTGGTTCCTTCACAAAGCTCAGTCTAGTAGGACTGTCAACACATAGTAAACAATGGGTATGACTGAGAATCAAAGTACTAGAAATGGAAGAATCGGCAACATTTTCCTTGTCTTTTTTATGATTAATTGGCTCATGATTTTTTAAAAAATACTTCAAAATAATTTGGTGTCATAAATTTGAAATGTAACTGTAATTGCTGTTTATAAGATAGACTAATGTTTCTTGCTTATTTGAAGTAATCTAAAGTTTAGGATGCTTTTTGAAATGCATATGGATTTTAGAGAGAGTGGAAGGGAGGATAGCGAGAGAAATATCACTGGGAGATAATCAACATCTGTCGGCTGCCTCCTGCACGCCCCCTTCTGGGGATCGAGCCCATAATCTGGGCACGTGCCCTGACCAGGAATCAAACCAGGGTCCTCTTGGTTCATGGGTCAGTGCTCAACCATTGAGCCACACCGGCTGGGCTGAAATGCATTTTTAAGCAGGTGTCATTTCTTAAGCTTTTCTCAATATTTAGTGAAGTCAAAGATTTGTTTTTTTGCAAATGAAATTTCCGGTAACTGTTTCTTATATACAGTGTTCCTTAAGATGTTTCTAATTAAGGAAGGCCTGACACTAATTTTCATGTTTGCTCTTTTAGGAATGTTTTAAAGGAAGTTGGGCTACTCACAAGTTACTACATAAGAAAGCAAGTAAGTGAAATCACACATCTCTATACCGTATGCCTTTAAGTGGCTTTTGTGCAAAAGACAAGAATTCTTCCAGTTCTGAAAGTGTGTGTTTGAATAATCAGAAAGTGTGTATTTGAATATTCTGAGAGTGCAATCCAAAAGATAGAATTTGAACTTATTTTTTATTCTTTGTGTTGTGTAATCATGTAAATAAAATGTGGCTGAGTAATATCTTTGTTGGTCTTGTATGACATGACATGAAGACATGAAATGGATCTTGCTTGAGCAATACCTGAGAATATCTAATCTTTTGGCACCCTCTTTCCTTTGCTAGAAATGTTTGCATATTGTGGGCTGGGGCACATGAGCTATCTAGCTTCATTTAGCCTGATTTCTTGTTTTTGTTTAGTTTGAATTTTGATGGCTTTTTTTACTCAAAAGTATATTACTTTGTGTTTATTTTTTGGTTTTTCTGTCATCTAATTTTATTACTTGCAGTCTAATGTTTAATTTGCTCTTTCAAAGTTACTTTGTGAAACATCACAAAGTGAAACTATGGGCTGCTTCTTGGCTGTTGCTGTCATCCACAGCAATGTATCTTTGAAATGGCCTTTCCCGTTCTGGCCGTTCATCTTGTAAATTCATGTCATTAGTGTGCTGGCTTAAGACAGACAACCTGTCACAATTACCTGAAAATTGACAAGGGGTTTCTGTTCTTATGGCATTGCCATCCTGATGGATGAAGGCTGAAGGCTTGGCAGACAGCACGTGTTCTTGCTATAAGGTTCTGTTTCAGCTTACTGATTTTGGTATATATTTTTTATTATTCATGTACTTCGGGTTTTTTTTTTAGGAATTTGCTGATCTAATAGTTTGGTAGATTGTTTTATATCAACAGTTTAAAAAGGTATTTTCTGTGACTGTATAAAGTGAAGCCTACATTTCATGGAAATTCTAGGCTAGTGTGGGAGGAAATGTGGTTAGAGAGGAGGAAAAAGGATTGTGAATAAATGGGTTTCTCAAAGCATAAATGGCAGAATTTGTTACCTCAAATCAAATATAAAATTGGTTTATGTAATGCCATTTAATTTTATTCACTTATATAATAAATACTGTATTTCTAATGTGTTTGGTATTTTTAGAGCTGTTTGAGCCAGTTATTTTATAATCAGGAAGTTAAAGCATAGGTGAGTGAAGGGCTGAAGTGAAACAGTATGTGAGTAAAAGAGCTTAGAGTTGGTTGCTACCCTAAGCATTTGCTAACTCACTGAAGTGTGCCTGTTTCTTCAGTCCTGGGTTTCCAAGGGTAGAGTTATTTCATTAAGACCTATACTACAAGAGAGTTAAACAGCTGATGTGCCCTAAGTGAAAAGAACATAATTATTACTGCACTGAACTGAAGCTATTTGGGTTTTACTTGTACTATAGTGTTTAGTATGGTGCCCTCTTGGATCTTTTGGGATGGTTTTCTTCAGCGGGTGAGCCTAATTAATATTCTTGATCCTTTGGGGCTGTGTTGGATAGAGACAACCCCCAGCTGGCCAGCCCTGTATCTTTTCCACTGATCCTGACTACACCACTGATGATGACAGTCCTAGAGGAGGGAATGTCTGGGCAAGGGTGATCTCCAGAGCTAAGAAGAGCATTAGGTAGGGATTAGGGGGAAAGAATGTTGGGTTAAGAAGGAATGGGGCATCATAAAAGATAGCAACTTATTCCAAGAAACAATAGTGAGGTAACAAATCAAGCAGTTCATATTATGAAGATGATACGCTTAGGCTTTTTCTTTTTTTAACATGTAATGTGTACTGATCTCTAATTAAGGATGCCCGATTATATCTTTGCGCATGTGGGATATTGTTGTGTAATTTGCTTTTAATATCTTTGACTGGTTTTGGCATTAGAGTAATTTTATTTCCAATAAAATGGGAAATGTCTCCTCCTTTTCTGTTTTCTGGAAGAGATTGTGTAGAATTGGTATTATCTTTTCCTTAAATGTTTGGTAGAATTCACCAGTGAAACTGTATGGACCTGGAGTTTTTTGGATTGCAGAGCTAATCAAGCCTTAGGAAAATTTCAAGTGTGAGTTAAATAAATGATTCAAGGGCAGGATTTTGTGTGTGTGTGTGTCATAGTAAGGACCAGTTAGATTACAAAGCCCTTAAAGGCACATAATGCTGATGCTTGGGTGCATATTTCCTACGCCGTATTTCCTGCCAGAGTGGACATAGTGTAGTGCTTGCTTTTAGTCTGATCTGTAAAGGTTGTAGCACTTCACACCTTATTTACTCTCTTATGCGACACTCTTTTTATGTACCACTGATATATTCAGTGTGTTTCTTTGTCTCCCAATTCCTAAAGTAAGGTGTGGAAGCATTTAACAGATGTCTTTTGAGTAGCCAGAAATAAGCTATAAAAACTCCTTTTTAAAAAAACACCAAAACTAAATAATACTTTTATTCCACTCCTCTGCCCTCCAAAGTAGTGTGCTTGATTTTTGGATTGCAGAGCGAAAGTTTTATGTAATGTTTCAGAATTGGTTCCTTCAAGCTCTGGGAGCATGTGTTACTTTGAGCTTCACCTTCAAAATGCTGAAATTTTAAATTTTTTGTGAGGATTAAGTGAACAAATCCATGTAAAGTGCTTAGCATATGTATAGTGCATAATAAGTGTTCCACAACTATTTAATAGCCATTTCTGGAAGAACTGAGTCAGAATTGTGGTCAGATGATCCCATCTTATGCAAAGCTTAGGTATATGCAGTTGTTTTATGTCAGCTGACTGGAGGAGGCAGCCTGCACAGAACCTTTTAAAGACTAAAAGCTTGGATGTGATGTGTTTGAGCTACACGATGGGTGTAGCAGGTACTCTTTGATATGGCCTCTATCTTACCTGGCCCTGTTTCATCCAGATGTTTGAGATACAGCTTCCAGGTATTTATTTACACTGTCCTCTGCTTTCACAGCTTTTTGAAAAAGATTAATTAGGTGTCCATTATATGTCTAGCACTTAAGGCTCAGGTCAAATTGATCCTAAAATGTAAATGAACTGACTTTTGAAGTGTAAATTTCCCTAAGTAAATTATTTGAAAAGAACTTGCCGGATTTCAATCTCATCTAGATAGCTTTTTGGTTATATTATTTGTTTGAGGTCTGCTTTCAATTCTTTTTTGAAAATAGGTTGTGGAAAGCTTGGAATGCAGATCAGCAGGAAGCTTTGAAAGATTTCATATGCTCCCTTCTCCTTGCTCCCCTCCCCAGGAGTATGTTAAAGCAAAAGCCTGCCTCTGGATTGTTTAGTCTGTCCTAGGTTCCAGGTGAAAATTATTTTGAGGTTCATATTTCAGACAGAAGCACTTGATGCAATTCATAGCTGAAGCAGGCATCAGTGGGCCTGCATTTCTAACAGTTTTCTATAATGTTTGACCCTGTGGCAGTGAATGCAGTCCAGTTTTGCACTGGGATGAAAGATAGTTTTCCTATTAACATTAGCATTCACAATGGTTTTCTTGAACTCCAGAGGGAAGAGAGAGATTTAAAATTCAGTAGCACAGTAGAGCTTTGCTTTTGTTTTTCCATTCTTATTTTTTTCTATTTCTTTAACTTATATGTAATATTATAATTGTATTCTCCTCCAGAATAATGTGAATGGATTGGCTACATGAACCCCCCTTACCTCAGTTTCCTCATCTGTAAAAGAGGAAATTTGACTAGATTGGCTTTTTGTTGTTTTTGTCAACTTGTCACCATGCTATACATTCCATCTTCAGAACTTATTTCTTGTACCTAGAATTTTCTACCTTTCGGCCACCTTCACCATTTCACCATTCCTCACTTGCTTAATGTGGTATGATTTTATCTCTTCTTCCCCATTTCGTATTTTAAATAGGTTTTCTTTTTTTCATACGCTTCTAAAATTATTTGAAGCCTGACTTTCAAAACTTGTGATAGCGTGACAGTAATCAGGAAAAGATGGGTGTGCTTAGAAGGTATAGGTAGATACTGGGAGGGATCTGAATTCCTGCTATTTAAGGTCTATTTAGTTGTTTTATTTTAAATTATAGATAGAAGTGCAATTTGTTGATGTGAGATACCATAGAGGATCTGTTCTGTGTGGAAGGATTCTTTCAGTAAACACAACATTATGTATTAATAACTAACCTGGTAAAGGGGGTGTGTGTGTGTGTGTGTGTGTGTGTGTGTGAGATTCTTAAATTTTTCTACTGAGTTTTCAGTAACTTTCTACTGATTGTTTCCTCCCTTTATCTTTACCTTTTCCTACCTCCTTCTACTACCCCTGTCCTGAAAAGAGAAAAATGACGCTCATAAAATTTTTAAAGCAATTTGAAATATTGACTTAATATTTATCAACTAAGTGGGAATTTTTTTTTTTTTTTTTTTAATTTGCTTTGGGGTTGCTTAGAATCTTTCTTTTGGTAAGTGCACAGAATTTATTTGTAATACCTGCCTTCAGAAATTTTGCCTAGGCTCAGATTTTATATTTCAAAATGGGCTTCCTAAAAATTGATATCTTAGAGAGGATACAATTAAATTGATATTGTAGAGAGGATACAAGTTAGCATTTACTTGAGAAAAGAAGTTTTATGAGCAGTTCCTAGTTGATATTATATAAAAACTTACAATGTGGTTAGCTTGGGCTGTTTCTCACAAGACACTTAGATCTTTGAGGTATCATAGGGTTGTGAACATAGCAAGAAACAGTAGCTTTGGTGATACAAGCTAAGGTGGGAGTTTACTTGGGTTTTTGTGCCTGGGCTCTTTGGTGTGGTGTTTGTTCAAAGAGGTGACAGTTAAAGAATTCTGCTGCTCAGTAGCTTGACCACTGAAGCATTTTTTTCCCTCTCTCTTCTTTTCTCTCATTCATCCATCACGTAGAAGATGAAAAGGCAAAGCGAGAAGTGTCTTCCTGGAGTCTAGAAGGTGATATTAACACTGACCCATGGGCAGGTTATCGATACACTGGTAAACTCCGACCACATTATCCACTGGTGAGTAAATAAGGTAATAAACATTTAACATTCTTTTAAACCAATTTTCAGTTTACTAAAAATGATACCTATAAATTTGTATTCTGATTATGAATCATACATTCAGGACTAAGTTTGCATTCTAGCTCTTCAGTTTTTATGGTACATTATTTGGAAGTTAATAGGGGTAATTGGCAATCATAGAAGAAGCAAAAAAATTTTAGATGAAAGGATTAAAACTTCTTTAATCTTAAAAAAGAAAGTGAGAGAATAGATATTTTCTGGCTGGCATGATGGTATTGTATATTACTACTTTTCTGAAAATTTTTAGCATGATGTATTTCGACCCGATATATATATATATATTTGTTGATTTTAGAGAGAGAGAGAAACATCAATGATGAAAGAGTCATCATTGATCGGCTGCCTCCTTCACGCCCCCAACTGGGGATCGAGCCCGCAACCTGGGCATGTGCCCTGACTGAGAATCGAACTGTAATCTCCTGGATTCTAGGTCGACCCTCAACCACTGAGCCACACTTGACAGGGCTTGACCTTAATTTTGATATGGCTTTCCCTCCACTCCTATCCCTTCTATGTTCTTGTCTGGTGGGCTTTAGGGTGTTAACATAGGAATCCATTTAAGTTGAAATCGGTTTGTCATCCATAAATACTTAATTTTTTTACTGATTTTTTTTAAAATAAAAGGAATAAATCTTTAAAAAATTAGGACAAATATCAGCAATTTAAGAAACTCTTTTCTTTTTTTTTTTTTAATCCTCACCCAAGGGTATTTTTTTCCATTGCTTTTCAGAGTGAGTGGAAGGGAGAGAGAGACAGAGGGGGACATATTGATTGGTTACCTCCCACACATGCCCCAACTGGGGCCGGGGATAGAACCTGCAACCAAGGTATGTGCCCTTGGCCAGGATCAAACCCGGGATCCTTTAGTCTACAGGCTGACACTAACCACTGAGCGTACCGACTAGGGCAAGAACCTCTCTTTAATCCTAGCTCCCAGAGATGATGATCAGGAACATAGTGGTGTATGTTTACTTAGAGACATTATTTTATTGTTGTTGTTGGTTTGTCAGTTTGTTTGGAACACTGTGAGCACCTTGTTGTCTGTGTGTGATTTAAATCCTTAATGTCCTTGGTCACTCTCCCCCTTATGATATCTAAGTGGCATTAGCACTAGGAAAATGAAGCTTAATCTTCATGAAATAGATGTATTGTGATGATTAAGATATCATTTAAAACTTTTCATTTAAATGAAATGAATGAACTTTTTAGTGTTTTTCCCCACTTTTATTTCCTTTGTTAATAAATTTTAATAGTGAAAGTTTAATAGTGAAAGTATTTTAATTGATTTTAACTAGCATACATCTTTGGTGTTTTTAGATGCCAACGAGGCCTGTGCCAAGTTATATTCAAAGACCAGATTATGCTGATCACCCTTTAGGTAAGTTGTGCTGTGCTGATTCCTCAGTTTTTCATTTGTGAGCCTGAAGACCACTGCAAAAGAAAGGAGTGCTTTTTGTGAAGAAATTTTTCAGTGCCAGATTTCTTTGTTTATTTTTTGTTTTAGTTTTAGTGCTATATTTCTAATAAATGTAAACATGGCTTTTTAAGAGACACTGGAATATTTGAATTAAAGTTTATTTTCTCCCAAGAAATCTACCCAATTCTGAAAACATTGTTTAGATGTTAAAACTACATTCAATATAATATTGTATTTTGTGTTGTTTTATCAAATTCTAGATTAAAAGCACATTTTGATTTTAACATGTCCTCCTACTTTAATTAAATAATATATATTTAGATAAAAACAGATTGTGGAGGCCGCAAATGATTGCCTAACTAAAGAGTGGGCTGTAGAAATAATAGGACTAGTAGTGGTGATGATTATAGTAGTAATGGTGATGATTCTATAAGTGATATTTTTTCGCAGCTGTATGTCAGGCACTGTGCTAAGGTCTCACATGTTACTCCTGTGGTGGGTTCTATTGTCTTCTCCATTTTGTAGATAATGATAGTGAGACACCCAGAGAAGATAGGTAATTTGCAGCACAAGCAAAAAGAAAATCTCTGATCTTAGGGCCTGTAGACATACCTTAAGTTGAATTAAGTGAAATTACTGATTTTGCATGTCAAAAATGGTTGAATATCAGTATTTTCTTGTGGTTCAATCTGTTAAGCTAAGCTGTCTTTGTTTTGTTCTCTAAGAAGTGGGGAACCATATTACAATTTTATGAATATAATTTAAAAATTTAGTTAAACTTCACTATTTCAGATACACTGAAGGAAAAGATAGCCTGAGTGATAGCTCTTGAGGATGTATAATTTCATTACTCTATTAATATTTTTAAATGCAGTTTAAAAAATACATAGACATGGTAAATTCTGATAGGATAAAATGTTGTACAGTGAAGAGTAAGTCCTACTCCCATAGGCAGAATCACTATTAACAGATTTTTGTAGAACTTTCCAGAGATATTTTATGTGCTTACACACATCACCCCTCACTCCAATTATACATAGTAGAATCAAACTATATACACCTTTTCACATTGTTATATTCTTTTAATAGATCTTGAAGATATTCTTTCTTTTTAATGGCTGAAGTGTTTCATTGTGTGGATGTCATAGTTTATTAAACCAGACTCCTCCTACTAGTGTATGTTTAGATTATTTCCACGTTTTTACTTCTTTGATTGACTGCAGTAACTATTTTTGCATGTGAGAATATTTCTGTAGGTCAATTGTCTAAAGTAAAAAAGCTAGATCAAAGAGTACATGCATCTTTTATTTTGAGAGATATAACAAATTTTAGAGATTTTGCCAGTTGTTACTTCCATTAAAAACACATAGGAGTCTGTTTTTCCCCCCTTATCTTCCCCAGTATAGTGTATTATCAAACTTTATGAATTGTGCTAATCCGAAAGATGAAAGATGGTATTTTGCTGTTATTTTAATTTGTATTTTCAAATTATGAAGAAGGTTGAACTTCTTTTTATACATCTGTTAGTTCATCCTTAGCCTGTTCCCTCCCCTTTTTTCCAATTAGGTTACTAATTTTTTCCATATTGATTTGTAAGCACTCTTTCTATACTAAGGAAAATAGTCCTTTGATGTATGTGCTATAAATGTTTTTTCCCAATTGAACGTTTATATTTTGTCTTTGTGTATAGCATTACATTCATGACAAAATTTCAGCATTTTTCTGTAATTTATCAGTGTTTTCTTTTAAGGTGTGTATAGCTTAATGACCTAGGAAGATATTTTTGGTTCAGAGATTATAAAACTATTTCCCCCTTTTCCCCCCATTATTTTTATGGTTTCACTCTTTTTATGTGTAATAAAATTTTTATTTAGTATTAGGTATTAAATATGGATGCAACTTAATTTTTTCCTGTGAAGAGTATCTGGTTGTCACGTCACTGGTTATTTAAAATATCAGTCCTTCTATTTATTTATTTATTTAAAATGCAGCCTATATACCATCATATTAAATTCTCACAAGTCTTTGAGTCTGTTTTGGATTCTATTCTGTTTCATTTACCCATTTGTCTAATCCTGTGTCGTTGCCAAACCCTTAATTATTAAGCTATATGATGTTTTAATATTTGGTAGCCCTTGTTGCCCTCACCTTTCCTCTTTTTCAGAATTTTCCTGGCTATTCTTGCATGTTCGTTTTTCCATGTGAAATCTGAAATTAGCTTGTCCCCAAAATATCCTGTTGCCATTTTTTATTGGGATAGTAGTAAATTTATAGACTAAACTGACACCTTTACAATATTGAGTCTTCCTATCCAAGAACAGGGTGTGCTTTTCTGATTTATTTAAGTCTCCTTTTATGTCTTTCAGTGGTATTTTTAAAATTTCTTCATTTGGTCTTTTATTAAGGTTATTTCTGGATACTTTCTCTTTTTTGGTTATTCTTATAAATAGTATCTTCTATATTTTCTAGCTCATTGTGTATGGGAAAGTTATTGATTTTGACATTTATCTTATTGTTGGCCAACTTGCTAAATTCTTATTTCTAGTCATTTACCAGGTATCCCATTATTCTAGGGATATATATAATCCTACCTGAAATTGGTAAGGATTTTTTCCTTTTCTTTTTAATTTTATATGTCTTATTTCTTTCTCTTGTTTAATATACCTGCTAGTACTGTCAGGACAGTGTTAAATCATGGTGCTGATAGTGGGCATTCCATGATGTGGGCTTTTGGCTTGAGATTCATATTTATCATGCTGGCCATGTTATCAGAATTATCTTTCTAGATGATCATTTATTTACTTTTTGTTCCTTAATTTATGGCTGTGATGAATTATATTAATAGATTTGTTAATATTGAACTGGCCTTGTCTTTCCACTTAAGTCATGGTATATTATATGTATTTTGGATTCTGTTAATTAATATTGTAGTTGGGATTTTTATATCCACATTTATTAAAAAATATTAGTTTATGGTTTGTTATATTCTTTTTGTCACATTTTGAAATAATTATGCTAGCTCTAATTTTAAATGTTATTTTTATTGTTTAAAAATATTTTTAAATATTAAATTTTAAATATTTTTAACTTTAAAATATTTTAAATGTGAATAATTTGAGTTAAGGTGATTTTATTAATGAAGATTCTTAGGGCAATATTTTCAAAAATTTCAAGTATTTTTCAATATTTTTTTACTGTAACCCAGAGTGAAAAATATATTTTATAATATATGAAAAATATATTTTATAATATATAATATAAAAATATATTTTATAATATAATGTGTATGTATAAATTAACAATCAAACATTTCACAACAGCTCTTACCCCTATTCTATGTATGATATAATCTTTTACTTTCTATTCCATTTATTTACTGGTCACAAACAGCAATTTGAAAAACACTGACTAAGGTTCCTGCTTAAAAAAATAAATGTGTGTAATTGATTCATCAGTTGTTGGTGTATAGATTTATTATGAGATGATGGTCTTGAAAACAGTTTGTAAATTGTGTGGTACTACTCAAATGTGAATCATTTACTGACCTTTATTAGCACACTGCCTGTCATATAATAAGTGCTCCATATTGTCCAGCCAGGCGTGGCTCAGTGGCTGAGCATCAACCTATGATCCAGGAGATCACAGTTTGATTCCTGATCAGGGCACATACCCAGGTTGCAGGCTCGATTTCCAGTAGGGGGTGTGCAGGAAGCAGCCAGTCAGTGACTCTCATTATTGATGTTTCTGTCTCTCTCCCTCTCCCTTCCTCTCTCTGAAATCAATAAAGGTATATTTTTAAAAAATAAGTATTCCATATTGACTGAATTCGAATAGATCTCTAAATTTATTCTTTAGAATGCTTCCTTCAGTTTACTTAGCACATTTCCTTTACATGTTGAAAATATTTTTTCAAAAAATCCAACCTCGACCCTCCTAAATTATGAAATACCATTGTGTGAAATAGTGAAACTTGACTATTATTATGTCATCAGGGAGATACTTAGGCCTAATACTATCTCTTTCCGTTCATTTGGTTTTACGTACTGATTTTCCTTTCCAGGAATGTCTGAATCTGAACAGGCTCTTAAAGGTACTTCTCAAATTAAATTACTCTCATCTGAAGATATAGAAGGGATGCGACTCGTATGTAGAGTAAGTATTTTTTTCATCATTGGGTAGGACATGTTTCACAGTTATTAGTCATGAAGGCAATGACTTGCTGATTTATGAAAGGCGGGCATGTTCTCTTATAAGGATATGACTAGCCATGCTTTTCATTAAACTTTTGTTAGTATATAATTTTGTGCAACAGTTGTTTTCTTCTTAAATAACCTATTTGAAAATTAGTATGTTAGGAAATGTATATTTACTTGAGAGTCTATTTCTGTTGTCCCTTATATTTTTAAAGAACCAAATTTTTATGATATTTTGTCATTTTATTTTCACAAGTCATAACATAGGACAGAGTTTAAGGCTTATATAAAGCTAAGTGAAAGCTCCTATTGTGAAATACCTATGTAGCGTGGTCTTAGTGGCTAATACTTATTAAGTGAAGTCACATGTTCACATTTTTTTAAGGAAAAAAATTTGAAGAATTGATATTATTTATTTAGAAATGATCCTTAATGTTTTTATTCAGTGCTTAGATACTAATTTTCTTCAATAATCTGGAAAATTTTTATTTGTATCACTTATGTGCTGTGATTCTTTGAGGAAAATCATTCATTTTTAATTCTCACCCAAGGAGTGAGGATTTTTTTCTATCCATTTTAGAGAATGGAAGGGAGGGAGGGAGAGAGAGAAGCATTGGTGTGACAGAGGCACATCAGTTGGCTGCCTCCCACACATGCCCTGACGGGGGTGGAGGTCAGGCCTGCAACCCAGGTACCCTTGACAGGGAATCGAACCCAAAACCCTCCAGTGTGAAGGCCAACACTCTAACCACTGACCCACACTAGCCAGGGCTCATCTATTTTGTTTGCCTCCCTTCCCTCCCCCATTATAGAAATATGACAGGACTCCACCTCTACCAGTTGACAAATTGTTTAGACTACTTAAGATGTGCATTTCCACATAGAAATCAGTCAAACTTTCTTGCGCTTTATGAATCTTCACAAAATCTGTGATAGTGCAGAGGGTATAGATTTCTGTTTTTATTTCATTTCTTCTGGAATGTATTAAGGGTTTTTCTTTTACAGCTTGCTAGAGAAGTCCTGGACATTGCCGCTGCGATGATTAAACCAGGTGTAACTACTGAAGAAATAGATCATTCTGTACACTTAGTAAGGACTTTACATTTACGCTTTGAAAATTTTTCACATTATTTAATGTTTTAGACTTCTAAAATTTAAGTAAACTTAAGTTCTGAATGTCTAAAGTAAGTTGGCTAAGGTAATTTGAAAGCATATTTTTACTTTGCTTCAAATATAGAAACTATTCATTGGTCATTATTCCCGTCTTTAAGTGTCTATGAAATACCTTGTTTCTGAAACCTCACATTTCTTAACATTATGGTGTAGCTTTTATAAAATGATTAATTTTATTAGTGCTTGAAGTATATCATGCCACTACATACATGACATATTCTGAAATAAAAAGAATACAAGTTCTGAAACTAGATTAGTGGGGGGAAATGTTCCCTTTCATGTCCACAGTAACAAGACAGTAAATAGACCAGGTACAGGGTGGGGCGGGCAAAGGTAGGTTTACAGTTGTGAGTACTCAAAACACAGTTTATTCTTGTATTATTATTATTAATTACTGTATTATTTTCCATGTGAACAACTGTAAACCTACTTTTGCCCCACCTTGTGTTTGTAGTAAGTATGATATAGGGATCTTTATAGATACCCCTATATCTTTATTTTATAAAGATTGCCTATCCATCAAGGAGAGACCTTAAAAACCCTATAGCAGATGCGTGTACACATTATATAAATAAATTGTTCACCAAAGAAGAGCAATGACTAGTTAACAAATCACATGGAAAACTAATTAAACTTGCTCTGGTCATCAAACAAACGAAAACCATAAAGTTCTACTAAATTATTAAGTTTTTTTTAAAATGTTTATATCCACTGCTGTGTGGGGATGATGAGATGAGGTAGTATTACTATAAATTGGGACAACCCTTTTGAAAAGAAATTTGATGATGTGCCTTGAGCATGTAAATGTTTTTTAAAGACTTGATATTTAGAAAAAATTCTGAATAAACCCTGATTTTTGGTTATTGTTCCATATGTTATAAAATAGGTAGCTTGCAGTAATAGCACCTTGAGTACTTCCTATGGGCCACGTGCTCCTTTACATGCTTTTACTAAATCATTTAATATCCTCAAGTCCACGAGGTAGCTACTACTAGCATCTCCATTTTATAGGTAAAGAAACTGAGACAGAGAGAGGTTAACTTGTCTATGGTTACACAACTTGTGATGGGGTTGATGTTTTTAGTCAAGAGTCTACTGTGAGAAATAATAGAAGTATATTGTTAGGGGAAAGTGATAGGCCTGTAGTTATTGGCAAGGAGTGATATTTTTTGAGGAAACAATTTAAATTTCCAGTAAGTGTAACTGTCAATAAAATTATTATGTATTCCACAAGTTGTGTTATGTGCAACTATTTAAATATTATTAGTAGTATGGAAAGAAAAATTATATATTCTGTGACTACCACTGTGTAAAAATATCTTAGTAAAATAGGACTTGTTATTGAAAACCAGACCGTTTTCTTAGAGGTTTCTTTGTTGTTCCATGTGATTGTAGTGATTAAAATGTCATAGGGATATAGGCTGGTTTCTATATAAGAAATTATAATTACATTAAAAGTGCATGTTAATATTTGCTTTAAATATTATGTTTTTACTTGAAATAATACATTTTTCAAAAGTAGTTAATTCTAAACTAGAGTGTTCATATTTGTATATATTTGTAATATGTAAGTTTGCTTTTCCTTTGCTATTGTCAGTAAACTGGTTTTGCCTACAGTCCGACAGGCACAAACCCTGTTGTATACTGGTTAAGATAAGAGCTAATGCTATTTCTAAAATAAAATATTAAGCAAATTCTTCATTAAGAGCAACAGATATTATCACAGTTTTCAAATTTTAAAATCTGATTAATTGCATAAGGTTTTTTTCTTTTACACATGCCAAATTATTTTCTCTGTATTTTAATTTATTATAGGCATGCATTGCAAGAAACTGCTATCCTTCTCCCTTGAATTATTATAATTTCCCAAAGTCTTGTTGTACTTCAGTGAATGAAGTTATCTGTCATGGAATTCCAGACAGACGGCCCTTGCAAGAAGGTGATATTGTTAATGGTAAGAAATATGTAAGTGTGACTTTTGTCACCACGAGCAGAGAAACAGCTAGGTTTGGGGAGTCCGATAGTGATTTATGTTTTCTTTACTTGCTTCCTGTCTTTCCTTTTTCATATTTAAAATTTAAAATCTAGATTATCATATGTGATTGGTAAATAGGTGAAAGGTGTCAGTGAATTGTGGAAGTAATGTTGATTCAAGTGGGATTTTTTTCCCTTTTTCTTTTAGTCCACTAATGGTTTGGAAGAGCTCAGGGCAGACTTTCTTACAGATAAAGAGAAATCCTTAGTAATATATGAAGATCTTAAGAAAAAAAGCTAAAAATCCTGCAGAAGTGCCTTCCTTGATATAAGAAGTTAAGCTGTCTTGGGAAGCTCCAAGTGCAGAGGAAGAAGCTGCCAGACATTTTCCTCTGTGATTAAAAAATAACAAAAACGGTGAAGAAGACTCCCCTAGATGGTATTTTTAAATCTTTTTTTTTTTTTTTTAATACATCTTTATTGATTTCAGAGAGAGGAAAGGAGAGGGAGGGAGAGAGAGAGAAACATCAATGATGAGAGAGTCATTGATCGGGTGCCTCCTACATGCCCCCGACTAGGGATCGAACGCGCAACCCGGGCATGTGCCCTGATCGGGAATTGAACCCCGATCACCTGGATCCTAATCGACGCTCCACCGCTGAGCCACGCCGGGCCGGGCTAGATGTTATTTTTAATGTTGATGAACTTGATCTCTTTAGTAATCCGGCATCTCCAGGAACCTACATATCAAATGAGGAAGCATGAGCCCAAGTGTTGAAGGCTGCAGAGAGTGCACTGTCGGTGATGCTGGCTGTGAATGATAGTGGAAACACTGTTTCCATTTGGATTGTTACTGCTTTAGTTAGGGTACCTTTTCATAAAATTCCATAGGTTTTGAGGGGTCTGCCCCACCCTGTTTTCCATATAAACCCTGTTATTTGTTACATGCATAATGCATGAGGTTTTTTAGGAATGTGTGTATTGTGCTAGAACCAACACATCTGTACTGTGATATTGTGAGTTGATTGAAAATTCATGGTTTAAAAATACTCATTTAATGTGCTCTCTGGTATATGTTTAGTGTATTATAGTGGTGTAGTAATAATCTTTATTCTTAAACATAGGGACCAAGAGAAGGATGAATATTCACAAATAAGTGAAAGACAAATGAGATTTTTGAAAAATAAGTGAAGAATAGTGTTTTTCTATTTATTGATTCACCAGGAAGAGGAAAAACTGGTTGAAGACACTAAATTAAAGCAGTATTTTCTTTTTAATGTCAAATGTAGTATAGTCTTCCATTTAATGTTAACTCAGGTTATTGATCTTGCATGAATGTATCCTGAATGAATTTTTCTTCTGCCATACATGACCTTAATTAGAATATTTAAAATCCCACCGTCTGGCTTGTTCTGCGTGACCATGTCTGTTGTCCACAGTGAGTTCAGTTGCATTATAGCCAAGGAGTGTCTATCGGGCAGTAACTGTATACCCACTGGGGTCTAATTTGAGAATGCAAAAGTTACATTTCTCATTAAGCTGCTTGATGCTCTCATGTTGGAGGAATTACTTCAAGTTTGAAATAAACACCAATGTGGTCTTTATATTTGCACCTTCTTTTGCAGTGGACATCACTCTTTACCGCAACGGTTATCACGGGGACCTGAACGAGACGTTTTTTGTTGGAGATGTGGATGAGGGAGCACGGAAGCTGGTGCAGACCACGTATGAGTGCCTGATGCAGGCCATCGACGCAGGTCAGCCTGAACGCTGGGCACCCGCGGAACTGCCTGTGTTGATGGTTCTTGAATGACTATCCGTGCCAGCCTTGCCTCTCCCCTCGCTGAGTTAACGGTGGGCTTTCGCAGTGATGGTTTAAGGATGACTTGGGGTCCCTTGATGAGGATGGGCCAAACGATGGCTTGTCATCCTTTGTTTCGTCTGTTCTCTGTCTTTCTTTGGCTGATAAATGAGGAATTTCTAGATAGTTCTTGAGTGTAATTTTTTTCCTACTTTTTTATTCTTTCATAAATACTACCGTCTCATAAAAATCTAAAACAAGATGCTAAATTATGAGGGAAAAGAATGATCCTTCTTTACACTTTCCTCTCTTTCCTTTTTATATCTCTCTCTTCTCCTGAGATGCTCACTTTTACCAGGTTTTTTCTCCTATGCATTAATTAACACACACAACTATGTTTAAATGTTAGGATAAATGGAATCATAATATTTGTAATATTCTGTAATTTGGTACTTTTTAACTAATAATATCCTAGGGATCTTTCCAAATTAGCACATGTACCTGCATGCATAGTTCTACCACATTCTTTTAATGGCTATATATTCCTTATGTAAAAATTTCTACAACTGTTCCCCTGTTGGATTTTGATGTTTTTTAGTTGTCTTGCTATTACAGTGAATAATATCTTTGTGTAGAGGTGTATTTCTGTAGGATTTTTCTCAGGGTCTCTTTGCCCATACAAACAATTCATCCAGGTTTTTTTGTTTGTTTGTTTGTTTATGCTACAGTTTATGAGGAGAGAGAAGGAAAGGCTTGTTGCAAATGTTAAGTCTGTTCCCAAACAGGACAGTTTGAGGGCAAACAACTTTTCAGTTGAAATCCATAGCATTTCAGCTTTATTAGTGTTTTATCTGCATCTTTCCACACCCACTCCACCACCACAAAAAATAAAATAAAATAACCCTGATCTGTCATCAACAAAGTATTGGACAGGACAGGATTCATTGGCAAACATATAGTTATCTCTAATAACTGAGATCCATTGCCTTTATTGTTTTTAGTTCATTTAACATTCATGGGAGATGATGAAATTTTTACTAATTTAATGAAATTGGAGGAATGAAAAATGAAAGCATGTGATAGTCTCATGTATCAGTATTTGTGTGGTTTCTTTTTATGTATTCACTATTGGTTATTTAGAAACTTTAGTCCTAAACTGATGGTTTTGTGAGATGAGAACTTTAGTGTTTAGTTTCTCATTTGTGGAAGCTTTAGTTTTAAATTGTTAGGGTTTCTGCCAGGTAATGTGTTCAATGTTTATATCCTTTTGCTTCTTTCTGACTTGATTGAAGTAACCAGACAGCTGAAATGTTTTACAAAGAGTCGCCCAGAAACTACCAGAAACCAAAGTCCTCATAACGTAGCCAGGAAAGAACAAAAGTTGTTTAGTCTCTGGAAGGTGCGGAACGCCTTTATATATATCATTCCTGCCCCATTTTCCACTACTTTTGCTACCCACCTGGTGCAGAGCACAGGAGAGCTTGACCAGTTGTTGAAATTAGCCTTCTGGAATAGGGTTTCTCAGCCTACATATTAATGTCACTTTGATAATTCTTTGTTTTAGGGGCCTGCCCTGTGCATTGTAAGTTGCTTGGTAGCATCCTTGGTCTCTACCCAGTAGATGCCATTTGCACCACTACTCCTAGTTGTGGCAACCAAAAATATCTCCAGATATTACCAAGTGCACCCTTGGGACCAGAATTGCCTCCGCTTTGAGAATTAGGGAGGAATCTCCCCTTTTATTTTTCCTCATTATTGATGAGCAGGGATTTTCTTTATTTTATACTGTGCAACATGGATTAAAATATTGCTTTTCTTCCCATTGACTGGGGCTGATTGGAAGGCTTGAATGGGAATGCAAGAAAATCATTATGGAAGACAGTCTGGTTCCTAAAAATCATTAACCTCACACCCCCAAAAAATGTCAAGTTGGAACATCTGGCTAAAAGCAAGTAAATGTTAGTTAAAATGAATCCTGAGCTTTTTGCCCAGAAATTTGATTGGCTGGAGAAGGTTTGTTGTACCTGAACCTCAGGTTGAAATCCTGAGAAGTCAGAAAGAAGCAAAAAGAATATAAACATTGAACACTTTATCCTTTTTTTTTTTTTTTTTAAGTCATTAACACTTAATGTTAATTAAAATTAACAGTTCAGATGAACAGATTAGAATAGTGTTTAAAATCGACTTCTGAAAAATCACATTTATATGAAGGACATAAAACAGGCCAGGAGTCCAAAAAAGGTGCAGCTCGTATTATTGCACTTGAATAAAACGCACTGTCCGTGGCAGCATAATACCGAGACCACACAAGGCCAGGAAGGGAAGACAGAGGACAAACCCCAGGTAGGACTTATTCTGGATTCTGAGCTCTTCAGTGGCCTCAGAAACATTTAACATTTCAAAACATTCAGTTGGAGCTCTTTGCACAAATGACTGCTGTGTCTTCACCATGTTTTAGTTGCACCCACGCTCTTCTTGCTCAAGTTTAAGGTGCAGCTGGATCTCACGTGATGGGACACCTGCTACACCACAGCACCTAGAGCCCAGGCTGAGGAGGAGACTAGAGAGTCTGAGGACTGCCAGAACCATGGCTGGATTCCCCAGGAGTCTGGCAGGCCCATTGTCAGGGGTCTCAGTGCTGGGAGAGCCTTACCAGCAATGAGAACCACTTCTTTTGTTTTGGTTTTTATTGAAACAGACCTAAAAGTCATAAAAATTAAACGAAGTAGGAAGTATGTACTAGTGAGATACCTTTGTACGCCTTACCCCCAGGGGCAACTATGAATAATTTGAGAACTATTTTCATGGGGATAAAGAAGCCCCGAGGAAGTAATTCTTTGAAAAGTTGATGAGAACGAAACTCAGGACCAGTCAAGTTATTTTTTAGACATTCCTTTCTCCTTTGATATCCTTTCCTCTTCTCTCTTCTGCTCACTTTAATAGAATAGCACACTTGACCTTAGGGAAGGGGAAGAGAAGAGAAGTGTGTTTTCCATTCTTGTTTGTTCAGAAAGCCAAAGGTGCCTCCCCCCATTCACTATATGCATATTGTCCGTTTACACATCAAAGGAGGAAGTACAGGTGCTACTGGTTGGAATCTCCCCTTTTCCATCTACTGCCAGAATATCCTCTCTGTGCCTCAGTTTCCTCATCTGACAGTTTCAGCGTGTTGGCCTATAAAGTATTCAGAATGGTTCCTGGCACATTGATAGTAATTGCTTAGTAAAATGTTAGTTATTATTACTCTTTCATAAGCCTTCTCCTTCCCTTTTAGTGAAGCCTGGTGTTCGATACAGAGAATTGGGAAACATTATTCAGAAGCATGCTCAAGCAAATGGCTTTTCAGTTGTTCGAAGCTACTGTGGGCATGGGATCCATAAGCTTTTTCATACAGCCCCCAATGTACCCCACTATGCCAGTAAGTACTGTCCAAAGATTTGGTATTTACTAACCATTTATTCAACAAATATTTATTCAGACATTTAACAGGGTCTATTATTTCATATTTATTAGAGTAATCGATTAGCTGTTATAAATTGCATCTGATTTAATAGACCCCTCAACATGTATGTTTGCTCAAACACAATACATGTTCACACAAGTTCATTTTATTCACGTAACAGTCCAAAACGTGTGTTTGGCCACTATGGGAAGTAGGGCAGTTACTCTGTGACCTAGGCCCTGTCATTTTCAACCTTTAGCTTTCAGGAGCACTTTGGGAGTTACCCTCCTAATCTGTAGACATTGGGGAGGAAGGGGAAAAGCATGGAGGGGGCTATGCTTGGGAGGTTTTAATAAGCCAGCCTAGAATTGGGATAATCACTTAGCATTTATTTTCATTGGCAGGAATTTAGTCACATAGCTACACTGTAAGGGAAGTTAGAAATGTCATCCAGCTGAGTACTCTGGAAGAAAAGTAAACTAATTTTCGTGAATAGCCAACAATCTCTGCTACATGACTAGCCATCACCATTCTGATTCCTTAAATGAAATTGTCCAGCTTGATTTGACTTGAGTTCTTAGTATATGTCAGATTTTGTACTATTTCTTGTTATAAATGAGGGGAATAGACAAAGTACCTTTCTTCAAGTTGAGTACTGTTTGATAGAATAACAAAGAAAGTGTAGGACAATTAATGTTTTCCAGAAACCCTTTTTCTTGGAGATATAAGACAATGCAGGAATAAGGCTTGTTATTTAGTGCTAGAAATGAAAGCTGTTTTTGGTAAGTGACCTAAGGAATTTAACAATTATATATGTGCTACGTAGACACTTTCATATATCTCCTTGTGCTTAAGTTTTCTCATTTGTACAATAGTAGGGAATGCTGGCACCTACCCTAGAACTATTATTAGGATTAAGTGAGATATTATCACATGGAAAGCACTTAATGTAGTGATGATATACATGATCTCAGTGATTTTTAACCAGTGTGCTGCCTTACACAGTTGTGCTGCAAGAATTTTTAAAACATGCAGTACCTGACTGTTCAGTCAGGGGCACTGACCTCTCTTCCCTTAGATTGTCAAATTAAAAAAATGACAACAGCCAACACAATAATAGCCATCTGGTGTGAATGTCCTGTCTTAAACATAAGTAGAGTTGCATTTTATTGGTCACATCACATAATAAGGTTGCATCTGATTGGTACCAGAAATTCTTATATACAAGTATAGGCACCTGATTTTTTAAAAAGTCACCTGGCGAAAAAGGGTAGGTAATTATTATTATTTTTGTAAGTCAATCAAAATTATACCTATTTTTTGTCAGATCAGCAAAATATATATATATTTTTTTGGTGTGCCGCAGAATTTTAGGAATTAGTTTGTGTGCCATGAGATGAAAAAGGTTGAGAATTGTTGCATTACCTCATTTTATCATCACAACTGTGCTTAGAGAAGTAATTTATTTACTCAACTTCACACAACCTAGTAAGTAAATGCCAGGGCTAGGATTTGTACCTGTGTTCTGTCTGCTTTCTAGAGTCAGTCTTCTGTACTCTGTGCTGCCTAGTAAAGACTGAAGTAATTTGTCGCTGGGCCCTGTAGGAGAAATAAAGAATGGCTGTGATTTGGTGTCGGGGAGAAGAAGGGGATGAGTGTTCCAGGTGGAGGGGAAGCATGAATAAGTCCTTCAGTTGAGACTGAGCACAGACGATATAAGCTTGGCTTAGTATTATGTGTTAAGAACTAGTTAGTAATAGGCAGTGCCAGCCCGAGAATCTTTGACTTTATTTGTAGAGATTTGCAGAAACATTTTTGAGCAGAGGGATGGCAAGGTAAAGTTGCTATTTTGGGAAGACTGATTTTGCAGTGGTATCTAGAATGTGTTGGAGGTGCAATAGCCCAGTGCACTGGCAGTGGTCCAGTTGTGAGGTGCTAAAATCCTAGACATTGGTACTTGTGAAGAGGAAGGGAAATGAGCGAGAAACCACTTAACAGGAGGAGCTGAAGAAGTCATTTAGAGCACAGCATTTGACATAGATCAATAAGCATTTATCAGCAGACCACATAGTTCTTTTTATTTAAGCTGTGAATTGTGCTTGAAATAAAAGCTAGGAACAGAAAATTAGTAGCTGACTTCATTCCTTGCTGGTAAGCCCTGTAATCAGCCGATGTGCATTCTCTCAGAACGGAAGTAGCTATTATGATTGCAGTGGTGTGCGTGCGTGTAAATAGAGTGTGTGCAGGGAGGGAATGAAAAAAGTGCCCTCACTTGCAGAGGTGACAAGCTCAGGTTTAGGTATGGATTATACAAAGAGAGATTGAAGAAAAAATTTCTGGGAGAAGGGGATATGTGTCAATGATGTTGGGGTCAGCAAAATACGATGCCACTGATACATAAGAGATGCCACTTGAGTTTTTTAAAACCATTTAATTCGAAATTTAAAAAAATCTGAAAAAAGAGGTAAGGACTAGCTAGGTCCGCTTCATTTCGTACATTGGATATGTTTATGAAAAGTCATGTGTAAATTTGGTTTATATAAGTCAGAGTATGTTGTGATCACTCTAGGGAAGTGTTAGAGGAAACTGCTGAGAGCCATAGTGAAGGAGAGGCCTTTCGAAATGTAAATGATCTCCGCGTGGGTTTGTAACTCCATGTCCCTGACCAACTGAGGGTGGACTGAGGAATTGGGCAACTTCCCTCCACCCCCTTCTGTGTAAGAGAAGTCCTTGTTAGGTGAGAGTTTGTTTAGTTCTTTAAGTTGTTAGTGATTGGGAAGCAATGATGATAATACCCTACATTTAAAGTGTATGTTACAATAAGATGATAGAGCAGGTACAAATTTTTTACAAAGTACTTAGCACACTAGCATCTGTAATAGTGTAAGTCACTCAGATAATACGTATTGGTTGAGTGAGTTATGTTGAGAAACCGAAACCATGAGTCAAGATGAGTGGGAGTTGTAACTTTTCTAGAATAATGAATCAGTGGTAGAAATGGGAGTGGAACTCAGATGCTGTGTATCGGTGTTGTCCAATAGATGAGACACACATGTAATTAAAAATTTCTCATGATCATATTCAAAGAGGAAAGAGAAATCGGTGAAATTTATTTTAATAGCATAGTTTATTTAACCTTTTACATTCAGAATATTAGCATTTCAGCATTTAATGAATGTAAAATTATTGAGAGTATGTCCTCTTTTTGTCTCTGAAACCGGCCTAGTTTTACTCGCACCGCTTATCTCACTCTGACCAAGCGCCTGCCGAGTCTCAGTAGCTGCGCACTGTCAGAAGCGTGCTCTAGATCTCGCCATCCTTTTTGCTTCCCATGACACCACACGGACATTCGCGATGTTTCCTTTTGATATCCTCGGGAATAGGACCAGTTCTCTATATATAGTAATTGCGTGTCAGTTGGAGAGAGAAAGTTCATGAAATTAGAAATAAAAAGTCAAAATTATGTTTGCTCCTCAGATTTTGGCAATACCTAAGGTAGTGGAAAGCAGCATGAGAGCTATTCACTAGGAAAGCTGTGGTGAGGTTAGACCATACCTAGAAAGTGTGGTATTTAGTAAATTCAGCCTCAGGGGACACGTGTCATTCATTACCAAAGGCTCCATGATGAAGACCAACAACCAGACCAAAAAACCCCAGAAGCCATGCTTTTGCCATCTGCTGGTCTGACTGTGCAAGTGCAGGCATTCATTTATTGGGGCTGTTATCAGTTGTTTTTTAATTTGAAATTTAACTGGTTCTCTATTTTTGTCTGAGATTGTCTAAAAAGGCCTATCCCTATTTTTATTTATTTTATTATTATTTTTTTTAATCCTCACCTGAGGATATTTTTTTCCATTGCTTTTCAGAGAGGGTGGAAGAGAGGGAG